ACATTGGAACAAGTCTCACCGTGGCTGAACGAAGCAAAGGAGGGTAGTAATGTGCATGTAACTGCCAGTGACTGCAATCAGATCAAAATGGAATAGTTAAAACTAATTTTTCATAAAAAGAAAAATTGTTACTGGTCACTAACTTCTATATAAATCTTACCAATGAAGAATGTAAAAACAACACTCATAATGACTATAATAACAATTGATAATGATAATGATGATGATAACAATGATCATCATCTTCATTGATACCATTCATCGGGAAGGTGGTGATTTCTTTTTAAAAAAGAGCAGGATACCCTTTTCACAAGTTAAGAGAAGCTGCAAAAATGTTCTTACGATCTACTAACTAAAGGTAGTGTTCTGTTGACATGAAACTCTTAGAAGCCCTATACCTGCCAAAACTAATGCCTTTGAAAAGCCTTGATTGACACATGCTAGAGAAATACATAGAGTAAAAATCTGATGGAAACTAGTCCAATAAGAGAGGAAACTTTGTAAAGAATCATTCTTCTTCCCAAATGGTTGATTTTCAAGGGAATAACACACAAGACTGTCAGAATTTTAAGGGATACTTGTATATATCAGGAGGGTTTTTGAATTTCTGCAGAAGTCTTTGCCATCTTCAGAGATAATCAGGCCCCTTACTAAAACTTGCATTCATTTGACTTACAAAAGATGAGTAGGTAAAATGTCATAAAAAAGAGATTGAATAATAAAAAACTTTATGGCCCCTCTTCTTCAAGATCTGTTCTGTCCAGGAGGGGCTTTTCTGCTGGCTATCAGCAATCAGAGAAAATCTTATCCAACAAGTCTCACCTACAATCTGTGTCTTGTTTACCAGTTGGTGCACCTGTTAGGGTGAAAAAATAAGTACTAATTAACTGGGTTAGAGGCCAGAAGGGAAGATGTCAGGCTGTCATATTTTCTTATCAACAGGCATTTTCTGATATGACCACTGCTCTTTCTATTTCTTCCTTGCTTCTTTTTAATTTGTTCTTCAAGGACCAAACACAAAACCATCAAGCCTTTCCTCTCCTTCTTTTCCAAGTATATAATGGTGGTTTCATTAAATAATTTTGACATTAATCCTAACTTGTTATCAGTAGATTGTTATTAGGTTAAGGGAGGGGTAGATTCATGGTTGCTGGGATACTGATATTGATCAATAATTTTCAACCAACCCTGATAGTATGTGCCTCTTGAAACCCTCTTGAAACAAACAATTTAAAAGGATATTTGAGTAGTTACCCCTGTTTGCAACAAGGAATAAATTAATGATTTAACTAACATCCTAATATAAGCAAAAATAATGGACCAACAGAAAAAGCAACTAGAGCTATTTGTGTCAGCTGATTTCTAGGTACATATTGAACAACTTCTGACTAAAGTGCAGACAATTCTGCACAGGAAACTTAAACTTAAGCTTAACCTTGATAAGTGATTGGTGAAAAGCACGAAGAGTCATACCTCATATCTACAGACACTCATTACAAAAGAAAAGGAATTTTGTTCTAATTGAAGCAGCTTTTGATGGGGAGGAGAATATGTTGCACGACAAGACCAAACCATCACTGTAAAAGAAGACTAAAGGTATCCAGAGATTGGAAAAGGTTCAACGCTTGATAGTATACATACCGTGCCACCCCATAGAGTAAGGAAAAGAAACTTCAAAAAGATTGTCATATTTGGTCAGTAGTCTTTTCATTATATCAGCAAGATCTATAACAAAAAGTAGCAAACAATTTAAAATTTTTCTGAATTTCAAAAGAAAATGTGTAACCCCATATATATACAAAAACCTTTTGGGTGTGATCAGCAACCCTTTTCAGCTAATAAAAAGAACACAATCTGAATGTGATCTTTAGTGACTTTTAAACATACTACAAAGTCTATCCAAAATAAAGTATCTAGAAATTAAATTTACTTTTCTGCTCCTCTTCTGTGAGATCTGATAATCTTTGAACATGTCTTCTTGGAAGCAGCAGAACTTCATAAGGCCAAGTTGCCCTGCAAAGTGAATAATATTCATTAAATTTAATACCAAATGCTGGACATCAACTTTGAAAGAAAATTCTAAGTCACTGACAGTAAAGG